AACTTGCTAGCACCAACATACTAACATCCAAACAGCCGCCGCTAAAGCTGGGCTCCTGTGGGCACTGACGGCGCCGCAGGTCCCTGCTCCGCTAACCAACGAACCCGTAAGCACCCCCCTTCAAAAGCTCAACAATCCAGCAGGGTCCGACAGACCCATTTTGCCATTATTTCCCACATTATTTTCCCTTCGACCCACCAGCTCCATGCAGCAGCTTAGGGACCTTGTCAGCTTTAAGCCAAAATTTTCAGGCAGCTTCCTGCCGGTGCTTCGTTCCCCGTTCAGAAACGTCAACTCGCGCTCGCAGTACGCGATTCTCATTGCTCACTCCGACTCCTTGGTGCGATCTGCCTGAGCCGAACAAATACCGTTGTCTTTTTCCAAGTCTCTACGAAAACAATCTGAACCACTGAGGCTTGTTGTTTTGAGGGAATCTGAGCTTATTTTTGGAACTCTACCATTTTGCATGTTAGGTCTTCAGTAGTACTTAATCACAGACTGGTTTGGGATGGAAGGGACCTTAAAGACCATCCAGTTCCAACCCCCCTGCCATGGGCAGGGACACCTTCCACTAGACCAGGTTGCTCCAAGCCTCATCCAGCCTGGCCTTGGACACTCCCAGGGATGGGGCATCCACAGCTTCTCTGGGCAACCTGTCCCAGTGCTCCCTACCCTCTCCAGCAGGAACTTTTCCCTGACATCCAAGCTAAACCTACACCTTTTGCACTGGTAACCTCCACCTCTGCAGCCCTATTTCCTAGCTCAAGGCCTACAACTGCTTTAAAACCAAGTCCATAAACAGCGGGTGTAGCCTAAAACCTTGTTTTCAACAGAAAGGCCAGTTCTGGCCTGTTTAACTGGACTTTCTGAACCTGTCGGAACCGGTAAGACAGAGCAGAGGAATTTGAGCCTTCCTACCAGGCTGACCACTGCTGTGTGCTGGAATGAAGGGAGCCGTCTCAGTAGGAACCAACAACGCTGAACTCTTGCTCAGCTCACGCAAACGTACAAAATCACACCATGTATGTTTAATACACTAGCAAAATATTTATTTTATAATGATAAAACAGAAGTGAAGGATCTTTTTGGTGTGCACCAGTAATTGTAGTAAAAGAATAAGGGGATTAATGGACTCTTTATACATTTCAATGACAAAAATTCATAAAGGTTAGCATCAAATTCAACTGTTCTCCATTTACAAGCATAAAACTTACCATAATACCCCCCAAACACATATATAAAGAATTATAGTTTTAAAATCTATAAAAAGTAAAAAATATACAGTCAGAAGATCTAACTCTTATTCAAATCTTTAATATAAAATTGTAAACATTTATTTACACAAAGGAAATGTGTATAACAAAATTTTGAGCACCCTTTTCAATTGAATCGTGGTTTTTGGAAGGCAGTGGATGTTGCACAGTGACACTCTCACCTTTCCTACCCAACCAGAACCGCAGTTTATAAATAAAGCCATGGGCGGCTGGCTAGGGACAGTTCAGGGGAGATAGTTTTATTGCTCTGAAGCCGCAGCAAATGGAAAGCCCAAGTGCATATATCGACAGCGACGTGTTGAAGGGCACGAAGGCAAAGCCCAGCCCTACCCACGCACCTATGTACATCTGAACCGTATTTTCATTTCCACTGAACCCTTTCAGCTTTGTTACAGCGATCCCGTATTCCCAGCGGCCTGACGGCGTTACGTGGACAGGGACCAAAACCAGAGCGAGGGCTGTTTTTTTCCTAGCAGGTTAAATGCTGTCTGGATCCTGTTCACATATGAAGACCGATGGGCATTAGAAGCCAATTTTTGCTAGAATCACAACGAATTTTAGTTCAACAGCACCATGGGAAGGCCCTGTCATCAAATCTAGATCCCTTCCTGAACAAACCCTGTGGTCAGGCAGGGCAATATCCACCTTAGCTTCCAGAAACAGTGGAGGAACGAGTACATCTGCATTTTCCTGGACACTTTGCTGGATTGCCTTTTTTGTAGTAATAATGCAAACAGCAGATGTTCTTTTCCTCCAACTAAGAAATCACAACTGGATGGATTGTATTTTGACTTATTCAGAACAAAGCCTGTGTGCAAAATCTACTGGAAAACGTAGCAGATTTCACCAAAACCTAAGCAGGGAAGAAAGAAAACCTGAATCCTCTTACCCTGTTATTTCTCTCAAGTGTTTGTAAGGGGGAGAAAAAAACTAGTGACACTGAAGGATGTCACTTGAAATTATGAGGTCCCAAGCACCCCCAGCAGGAAAGGAAGGCACACTGGTGCAAAGTTAACCCTTAAAAATAAAAATACAGGAAACACTCCTTCCCCTGCCTCTGCTAGTTTATATCTATATTCTTCTAGTGACACTTACCTCGGACCAGTTTGGGTTTAACTTAACAGTAAACCAAACTCCCTAGCTCTTTTCTTAGATTGCCAGCGTAAGAAGAGTTAGCATCAGTTATTATCAACTACTTATTCTAGAAAATACCAGAAGTGTCAACAACAAAGTCACTAACACCCTCGTCATCCCATCCAAAGACAATCTTTATCTTTTCAAAGGCTCTACAAGGGATTAAGTCTGCTTCAGTGAAGTTTTATCCACTCTTCAACGGTGGGACCCACTGACCATCTTTTCACCAACAGACCAACACGATACAACATTGAATCTGTTCAACAGAGCGTTAATTCTTCCACACTAGGTAAGTGTGCTGGACAAACCATGTTCCACGCGTATTTGGAAAGGGTTAAAGTATTAGTGTTAAAAAGCAGTTTTTAAAAGTGCAAATTGTCTCATAAAGGAGCTGCAGATACAGTAAAATACTTTCCTTCTTTGAAATCAATGTTATCCTTCACTTCCCTTGACCCACTCTGGAAGAAAACCTCTCACGCATCTCCGCGGTGCGGAAAACTCCCGGAGAAGAGAGTCTGTGTCGAAGGAAATTATTTTAAACCACAATGCTGGGTCTGGTTAGAAAGTTTTAAGGAGTTTTCCAAAAACAGTGGATTTTAAAGGGAGGAGGTATTTGTGCATTTAAAACAAAAGCTTTCAACTTTATTTTCATTTTGAAATAAAGGTTAAGGCAAGATGGTTTGTTGCTGGATAGGGGATTTTTTTTGGTAGAAAGTAAGGACTTAGGAACACTGACAGTTCCTATTACTGTTTTTGTCCTTTCTGGGACTGACCCCAACATATGGGTAAGAGGTCTCCTTGGGCTGAGCTGAAGAACCAGCATCTGCTTCAAGGGATATTAAAAAGAAGTAAATCCACCAGTCTACAGAAAAATTATCAAACTCGTAACCCAGTATTAAACAAAAAAGTATTTAAAGGGGGAGACTTCCATATTGGAGCAACCCTGATACAAGTATTCTCCCAGGCTGCCTGTGCTATTATTGCCAATAAGGACTTTTCACCTCTCAACCAAATTCTTTTTTCCTCGCTTTTACCCCGAAGTGACAAAGTCTTGTGCTCACTGCATCACTGCTAACTCTGGGGAATGAGCTGATCTCACAAGTTAGCTTTACTTTTTACAACAAAGAAAACTAGATGAGCAGTCATGAAGCAAAGCCTTCGTTTAAATACAACTACCTTTGGAAATAAGTTATGAAGAAACAGGTGCAAAGTAAATGGCTTTACAGTTCATGTTAAACCTATTATAGTTTAAAAGTTCTCCCGTAAGAAATTCCCCCCTTTAAACACAGCAAGGTATAAGCCAAGAACTGTGCCTCTCTACAACAGAGTGCAAACTGCAGCTTAAAAGACTACAATCTATTAAGACGACTACCTAGACTAACTGGCCAGGTTTTAATACTTTCTTTCATCTATCACCAGCATCTAGAAATATTTACCGTGAAATATCACTTGCTTATTGAGAGTACAGGCACATGCTTCAGCCACGGGGAAGAGAAACCATTCAAAGTATTTTGCAAGCGTACTCAGGTGCATACAGCCTCTTCTCAAACAGAAAGCCAGAAGTTTGATGGACAGGACTACGACAGCATGTCAAGCTATGAACAAGTAACGACTGCAGGTAATAGCTGCAGGAGACTAAGCCCTAAACACGATTTGTGCAACGATTTGCTTTCTTTCTGCACTATTTCTGTGGAAATCTGTTTGGTTGTTTTTAAATAATTAAAAACTTTAGAACACTGCAAGTGAGATTTCTGAAAGGCTGGCTAGGACGTGCACCATCTTTTTTTTTTGACCTGTTCAAGCGTGCGACGCCTCAGAGACGGCAAGATCCAGCGCCCCGTCCCCACAGACCTGCCTGGTGCGCCATCACCGCTCGTGGAAAAGCGGCTCCAGTCCCTTTCCCAACCATTTACCTCCAATACCTGCAAGTCTCCTCAATGCCACAGGTTTTTTGGTCCAAGTGTTGTTTATATTTCATGAAATAATTAAAAAAAAAAGTAGAAACCCCCACCCCCAGCCCATTCTAATGAGTTCCTAACAACTCATCCAAATCATTCATCCACTCCTCCGAAGTCCTGTTTTTCAGCAGCGAGTCTATCAGGTCTGTGTCACCAGTTAAGTTCTGAAGTCCGTTATTGCCCGACTGGCTGCTGTAGGCAAAAGGCAGCTCCTGACTGGTTGTCCTCACAGGGTACCCCTGACTACAGTGCAGATTACCTCTGTTGGGCATTGGCTGATTTGGATTCTGATTGAAAGCATTCAGATCTGGAACAGTCTGGTTCATGCCAGGCAGGACTTGCTGCGAGGGCACCTGCTGCTGCGTGGGGGGGTTTGTCCGCTGCTGCGCGCCTAACGACGACGATAACATCTGCCCAGAGACGGCAGCGTTCATGGAGGTCATCGGTCTGCTGGTGCTTAGGCTTACCTGAGGCATTCCTTGGGCAAACTGCTGGTTGGCCATCTTTAGATGAGTTTGCTGCATGTGGAAAGAGGAGCTGGCAGTAAATGGTCCTAAGCCACTGTTTGCTTGTGTCTGGTTGTTGATATTAGGGATACCTTGGTGTTGCCAAGATGGATTTTGAGCCCCCATAGCAGCTGGTACTCTTGCCATCTGTGGCTTAGATAAGGTTGGATTCAGTGCCCCTTTATTGTGCTGCTGAGAAATACTGGAGTTTCCTAAGGTGTTCTGCCCGTAGCCAGCAGGAACCGCAGCCCCCTGGCCCAAGCTGCCTTGTCGCTGCATCGGTGGCTGTCCGTTGGCACTCGGCGTGGCATGCTGGGGAACCATCTGGGTCATACCTGACGCCAAGTTGTATAATCCCCCCCGCTGAATGTTTTGCATATTGGTATACTGAGTCACCCCGCGATCCTGCTGACCGGAGCCCGACTGGAGCGGAGGAACAGAACTGTGGCCAGGTCCCATCTGAATCATGTTCTGGGTCTGCGGAAACATCCGTGGACTACTGGAGCTGGATTGTCCTAAATTACTGACCCCGGGCATGGCTGGAGATGACCCTGAAATACAAAGAGATACTTTGAACAATAAATACCTGGGTTCAACCAGAGCCAAGCTAGGCTCGTAGGCACACTAATCCAGAAAGGAGGCGCCGCTGCCTTTGGATAAACCATGCAGCCAACACAGACAGCAGCGCTTTAATTAAAAAGCGTCAGCTGCTGCTCCAGTTAGCACCTCCACCTCGATCTCAAACACAGATATGCCAACGTCCTAAAAATCTGAATGCCGCTTCTAAGGGTTCAACATCATCAATTTAAAAATAATTAAGACTTTAAAGGCAGGACTCCGATATTCCTTTGTCAACAAAGGTTTGCACACATACTTTGAAGTGCACGTACAACTTGCTAAGCTGTTAAAAACTACCACTTACTGCACACACACCCTGTCAGTTATTCCATGCACACCCTCTCTATCTCATTGTACGACCGTAGGGTTTCCAGTTTTCACAATTCCAGAAATTTCTTGCGTTTTATATAACTTTCAGAGATATTTGGTCAAGTACCTTAGGACTTCCACAATGAAATATTTGCTATGCTAATATGCAGTGCTGACAACCAAGCAAGGCGATTTGCAAAAATAAGTCTTCTCAGCAAACCAAATAAAGTCCTTTATGCTTTCAAATCCTGAGAAAAAAAAAGTTTCTTCCTGTAGAAGAAACAGGCCCTGACTTCAAGCAAAATAAAAGGAGAAAAGCACTGTGAAGTCTATCGCATATAATGCCCCCCAAACACACTTCTAACAACCAACAAAGGGAAACCTATCTACACTAGTACCTTCTCTACTTTCAAACAAAAACGTGAGCTGCAGAATTTTTTTTATATGTTCAGATAACTGAGGAACCTTATCATCATTTTATTTTTTATTCAAATATATTCAAATATAATTCAAATTATATTGAATTAATCATCAACAAAGCACACCATAAAAACACCAGTGCTGGGGAAGGAGCCTTAATTGGGCAGTAGAGTGAAGAAGTAGTACACACAGCAGATTCAAGATGCAGGAAATAGTTACAATCATCATTACACGGAAATAATAGTTTTAATAATACTGATATTCATTAATAGCAAAACATCCTCTAAGAGGTGTACTACTGTATTTCTGCAGAAAAGTGGCAGGAGAAAAAAACGTTTCAGTGCAACATTTGAAGGACGTTACTGATCCTGTGCTAACACACAGTCCTTTTGTACCGGCCAGGTAACAAAACCCAGTCACGGCTCTACTAGACCCTGCAGCGTCACCAACGCTGTCAGAACGAGGGTATCACTTTTCTGTTTGCATCTTTCCCCTTCGGTATTTATTTCTGTGGGAACATGGAGAGTAAGGAAACAAAATGAAGGGAATAAGCAGTTTTTGGTGCTTTAGGTTTGTGATAAAAGACAAGTGGCTTCTTGATGCCCTGTTAAGTCAGGATTTTTCAGGTAAGGAGATGAGTTTTTACTGTTCTCTAGTTCTTCCACATTCATTAAGCTATTCCAGCCCATCATCTTTAATTTATCAGCATTAACAGAAGACATACCAAGCTGCTTCTATAAAAAACACCCCAACAAATACGTAGGATACTAACGTGTAACAAAGAGAATTCGAATTGCACTCCCCTCTAAAGGCAACAGGGATAAAAATATTAGAGTTTTACACTCATTATAGTAAATGAGAGAAATAATACATCACTTATTTTTCTTTAATGAGGCCTGTGATAGCTTCAAGCAGTAGTGATGTTAGGCTTCAGAAAAAAAGCTGAAAGCTTAAAAAAGCTGAATATGTGAAAGTTAAAGGAGAATTTACAACCTGCGAAGGAAAATGGTAGTATAAAAAGGCCTTCAGATCAAGGAAGGTACTTAAGAATTTTCCCATTTCCCAAGCAATATTAAGAATCAGAAGCTTAAGTTGTCCCAGATATTTGGGACAGGGCAAGCTGTTAATTTACAACTGAATCAGAGTACAGTCTGAAAGTTTTAAGGTGTGGTGACATAGGAAGATGTTGTAATAAATTAATTAAAAGCTATCCAATCCAGGAAATTCGAAGACACCTTGTTTCTCACTCCTGGTATTTTTTTCCTGCAACTATTCCAACTGCCTTATTTACTTACCTGTGAACTGTCCAACCTGTTGCTGGTACGGATTCTGTGGCTGATCCTGATACTGGGGAGGTGGTCGAGTCAGATGCCGCTGCAGCTGCTGCTCTTGCTGCTGCCGCTGTTTCTCCTGGGAAAGGTCCAATGTGAGACAATTAGAAAACAAGCCAAGCTTTTTCCAAGGGTGACTATCTTGAATAAAAACAAGCTATCTGCATACTCTTCTGTGGAGCTGGTAATTAAAGGGGCTTCTGCAGCCTTAAAAGTCACATCAGACCTTTGTTCTCAAGGTTCCATCAGTCAGTTTAATCTGACGAGTGACAAGACTAGGAACTCAGAGACACGAAGACAACAGCGTGCATTAAGGGCGCATGGCAATGCACGTCCGAAGCCTTTAAAACCTTGAAAATCTGAGCTGTTCGTCTTCTAATCAGTAACATAATCAGCAAGCGCTTTAGCAATACTCTGAGGACACTAACAGATACAAAAAGAGCAAAAGTGAGCATGTATAAAAAAACGCATACCCACTTTTTCGCTCTTTGACCCCAGATCAATTTATTTTAGACCTCTCTTTAGAAATCAAAGTACAAGTCAAACAGCCATAATGTTACACAGAAAAATAAAAGCTGAAC